AGAATAACCGAGCTCTGTTATCGTCTGGCAATCTATCCAGACCTTTGTCCAGCCCTCGAATCCTTGTCTATCACCCAATGCCCCGAGTGGGACATTTTCTTCATCATGCTCGAAAGGCGCCTCTTTTGGGGGGCCAATGTGGGGACTTCATTTAAGTCTGTAGCTCTTCCAAACTATACGCCTCGCAATCTACAGCGCCACATTTGCGAAATCCTTCAAGGACGCTTGCCCGATCGGCCAAGCAACTTTGACTTGTCATTGTTCTCGAAGGCCGATGTTCTTCTGGATGAGACAATGTACGTGTGTCATTGGATAGTATTGACAGATAGATAATTGACATTTGGACTACAGCCCGGACTGTATAAGGTGCATTGAATGCGGTGCCAGTTGCTCATATTCGTTACCACCGGAGGTGAAAAACAGCGAAAAAGACGAATACAAGCTTGAATGGACTCGAAATCTCCCGAGGTACCCTGACGGCGAGGATGAAATATTGTTGTCATGGGAAGACCGCTTCAAAGTATGGGAAAAAGGGATTCACCTAGTTCCATCCAAACGGGAGATTTGCCCTTTAGGTTTCCATCAAACAATGTTGGATCAATTCTCGTCCTCAGGTGAGTTGAATATCTATTTCCAATGAACGAATAGCCTGATACATTCACTGTAGATATCGATTCCTAGTATATCGTGCTAAATGCCGTTTCATTCCTCTTGTACGAACAAAAGATTTATCTATAGACAAATATACTCATATTCTGGTCATGTCGATGTGCTTACGCCGCTGGGTGGTACGAGAGGCCACCAAATGTGTTTGTCCTGAAAGATACTATTTATCATCACTCTTGTGCTTGGGTATATTTCAATTCTCCATTCTCAAGTCTTTATCAGTTTCTGTCGGTGAACTCTGGCCTGTTTGCCTCGCTGCCATCAGAGTTCCCAAGTCGTTCAGCTTCACGGCTATAGTCGATTCTCTTCTTGTTGTTGAACAGTATGACGAAATCGAAATTAATTATCAGCTTTCTCTCATTACATGTCCAGAAATCGCAAATACATCCAGTACATTATCATATATCAAAAGCCCTCTAGCCGCTCTTGATGTCCTTACAAAGATGATTAATCTCTGCTTATCATTGATAATTAGTTGTTATAATGAGACGTTAAAACGGGCTGTGCCGACTTACTTTTCAACCCACTCCTCATTTTCCGGAATTGCAGCTTGCCCACCGTGATTGTGACTGAATTATTTGGACCAGACTGCCACCTTAGTTGCCCAACGCTCGGCGCTATGGCCACATTCAACCCGCTTCCTCCTCCTGAGCAGCACGAAGATAAAAAAAGACTTCAACGATCTCGAGTCGAACTTCTTAGCTCGATATATCAGCTACAGAGGACGGGAGATGTCGATTTGGATATCATTCGAGCGAAAAGAGTTCAGTATAATAGCATTGTAGATTCTATCGACAAATTAACGCCTAAAATCTGCTCGGATCCCATCGATAAGCTCCCTCCCGAACTGTTCGCCGGGATCATTCGCAAAGTTGTGGCTGTCAAGGTCGGACATGATCCTTGGTACCCCCTAGATCGTTCGTTGAATCTCGTTACTTTGTTCTCTTTCACGCTAGTATCTCAAAGGTGGATGAAGTTCATTACCGAGACTCCCACCTACTGGACCTTCATCGCCCTTAACGACATCGTGGCCGACAGTTTCGCAGAAGCGTGGACATGTTTACATCTCTCTCGACAGCTACCAATCACCGTTCATCTTGTGCATTCCGTTGGGGTGGAAAGGTCGGAAGTCTGGCAGGAACTATTGAAACATCGCCACAGAATCGTTCGCTTCATCGATGCTAGTTACCCTGATAAGCACACAATCGACTTGAATAAAAGGTTTCGGGACTGTATGCGATACCTGTCTCCTCTTCCTGCCCTAGAGAGTCTGGATTATAGGGGCGGTAGCCCTAATGACAGTTCACCCATTCAATACGTCTTGGATACTTTTCCAAAGTTACGGGACTTGGGTGGCTTCATAATGACAAAGGAACATACTCAGTCCTTGATGTCCCGCAATTGCAAGCGTATTAATTTTCAAGGCGAGAGGTGTGCAATACCTCCAGATTTAGTGACTTCTTGACGAATGGGGCGGTGCTAGATGGACTATTTGTCTC